ATATGATACGTATGTATGTATATGTACAAAATACATAATAAAACATTTCGCGGTGTTCTGTCGCGATGACTAGCGTCCGACCACCACTTATCGGATACTCGTGAATAGATTCAGCACGGACTTGTTCTCCTTCTGACTGCGGGCTTTGCTGAATACATTCCAGAAGCGCAGAGTTTCATCACCCGCTCCAGTGACGATCGCCTCGCCGTCCGGTGACATTGCTAGATAGAGTACCCGGTATGAGTGCCCGGTGAGCTTAGCCACTTGCGTGAGACTGGGATACTTCCACACAAGAATCTGATTCTGCGAATAACCGTGCGTGCTGACTAGCTCAGAACTGTGCTTGCTCCATGCCAAATTGCAGACCTGTGACCCGGTGTCGACGCATTGCATCGGCTGACCAGTCAGCGTATTCCAGAAACGGATGCAACGATCAGCGGTTCCGCCACCGGATGCCAGCAGACCGTGATGATGAGGCGACCAGGCAATCGCTTTTACTGCCGCCAAATGTTCGGTATATGTTTGGATAGGTGCGAGGGAGTGTAAGTTCCACACATAAAGTCGATTGTCATTGCCACCAGACGCTAGATACTGATTGTCCGGTGACCATTTGAGGCCGCACACTTCTTGTCGATGAGCACCGAGCCGTCGTTCGCCAACAACACATGGCGTTCTCACATCCCTTTGTAAGATCAATCGATCTCTGCTGCCAGATGAGAGAACTTCTCCATTCCATGCCAAGGCTCCTACCCGAGCGCTGTGACCTTGTAGCTTGCTAACTTGCTTGTTCACTGCAACATCCCATACCTGTATATAGCCCATATGTGTACCTACTGCCACTAGATTGCCTCGCTCGTTCCATGCAACAGAGGTCACACTATTACCATCGCTGGACAAATCGCAAAGTCTTGTCACTTGGCTAGTACATGCTGACCATAGATAAACGCAGCTCCCCAAGCCAACACTGAGAACATTCTGGGAAGACCAGTCAACCAAATTCAGATAGAAGTCATCCTGTAGCTCGGGAGCATCCAGTACCTTGAAAGGTATTCTTGAGATTTTTCTGGTTGCCTTTCTGGGAGACCTCAAGAGCTTCTGGCTTTTGGCACTAAGAGGTGACAAGGAGTATGGCGAGCTCTGATCCAGCAGCGTCCGGTCCTTGGTAGGCGTAGTATACTTGAAGAGATTTTTAGTTACTAATGGCGAAAGTACCCTGCGCTCTTCACACTGCCCCTTAACATCTTCGATATTTGCTCCAAGCAGTTCATTTTTCAACAAGCAGGAATAAGCAATGCCATCACGGCTTCCCTCGCCATTCTCCCGCGTCTTCTTCGCCACCAGACCGCCCCGGGCGTTTTCGCTGATCATGGAGAACGTAGTTTGCCAGTTGTTGCCGGAGCGAGTGGGTATAAAGCGATCATAACTGTTGTTGCACGCCGATGTCTTCGTGGGCGAGAAGTACATGGGTGAGAAGTACATGGTATTCGAGTACATGGTATTCGAATAGGTGGCGACGGCGCCGGGCACCGCCGTCGTGGACGTCGCCGCCGAGCCATCACTGCTCACCGGCTTCAGCAGCCGTTTCTCATATTCGTGGTGGAACATGACACCATGCAAAGAAAACGTCTCACTTCACTGCACTAAGAGCCAGCTCCCTGCTATCCCGCCACTCACATAATTAACACACCATGGACTTCTCTGTCGTTGAGAGGCCGTGGAGTTTGGACGACGATGACTCTGGTCTTCGGAATACGATACGTCACAGGCGCATTTCCAGCTCCGACGTTCAATTGTTCCGTGCGTTCCGTTCCAGCTTACGAGACGCTCTCAGGTCCGAGCTGTTGGTCACCATCCGTCGTCTTATATCAGCCGTGCCGTCGCCATTCGACGTCAGGTTCCAATCGAAAGCTCGAGAATCGAGGATCCGCACGAGGTCGACCGATCGCCCCGTGTCCACCAATAGAAACGTACTCCGGGGTGAACGGATTGCACTCGATCAGGGTGGGGAAAAGTCGATTCTATCGACCGTTTTCTCCCTTATTGATTATTTCACATAACTTTCGTTAACAAATTAGTAATACTTTGTTAAACGATTATTATTACTGTTTCACCATACCTTGCGTAACGTTGTGTGTATATCCAATTCAACTTTTGTCATTAAATTTTTGCCAGCATTTTTTTGTATTTCATAATAATGTTTGATAATAAAAGTCATCGTTTTGTTTCTAAAAATAACCGAACGTTGAATTTTAATTAAAATATATTCAATTAAAATATGTGTTTTATTAAATTGATAGTCAAATACTTAAAGTCTTTTATTTAGAAAGTAAAATGTATAAAGTCCAGTCCATTTCTATCAATGTAGATTATTTATCTTTTATCTTTTTTAATCCTAAGAATCAAAAAAAGATAAAGAATAAATTAAATCAAAATTAAAATTAATCTATATTGGCAAAAAATGGACATAAAAATGTAATTGATCAAATTAACAATATATTTATATTTAGCTGCTTTGCTTTAAACACATTGGAGAAAGTTTTAAACTGGTAATGAAAAATTGATAATGTAGTAATCAAGTTGGGAAAAAAGAGAATTATCTAAATTAAGGATGTCCTTTTAAGATATACTGTGAGAATTATCTAACAAGGATGTTCTTTTAAAACATACCATCGATACTTGAGTTATAGATTAGATTTCCATCGATAAGATAAATGAAAAGAATTTAAAAATGTTTACCTGAGTCTGAATAACTGAATATTTCACGATTTTTCCACCTCAAATATTCCAATTTGTGGCGATTGCAGCCATGTACATTGCGCATGCACAATGTGCAAAAGTGAATCAGGGAAGAAAGGTGGAAGATTTTCGCTAAAATCGATGACATTTTCGAATGCGAGAAACGGTCTGACGAAAGCTGCCGTGGCAAAAGAACCGCCAATGGGATCGCGACCATTTTCCGTTTTTCGACGCCGTTCGATGAGTCATTTGATTGGAAAGCGAAGGACGAGGAGAGGTCTGCTTTACACGCTGTCCAGAATTATTAGAACGCGACGCTTCAGTTCGAAAGAATTTGTTTACTGCAGAATTCGACCGGCGATGGCATCAGAAAGGAACGACGCCTGTGATCCAAGCGACGTTATTTTGCAGGAAAATTCGGATGCCGAGACGCAAGTAAACACTCGATCGTCGAATACCTCATTTAACCTTTTTCGTTATCTTGAGAATCAGAATGAATCAACCGTCTCATTTCGAAGAGAGATTCATTTCATTCTGGAAATAATTCAAACGAACCTTCGTTGTAAATCCAAAATTCTATAGAGATCAATGTCTTGAAAAATATAGGATTTATCAGAAGATAAATATATACGTAGCTATTATCATATTTTATTGATGTTTGTTATTATATTTTATTGCTGATTCTATATCATTCCATAAGAACAGCCATATAAAGTCTATTCTTTATTATCACACTACACTATACTAAAACTTTTTTTCTCACTTTTACATTTTGAATGTACGGGCATATAGCTAAAGAATAGATCTATAGATAACCGATATCTATATGAGATATCTTATATTCTTGCATAGGAAAGTTTCAGGTTTATTATGTAATTAAAATATAATTAAGTTTTTAAATAGATAAGAATTTGAGATAAGATTGGATAAGATTCTTCTTAAGGCGAACAAAATTCAATAAACTTGGTACACATTTTTTATCTAATTCAATTTAAATTTTTAACTCTAAACTTATCAAAATTCTCCAGAAATAAATGATTGGTTCTTTTATATAAAGATTTTATATACTGTACATTTATACTAATTAATTTTAGTAATTTAATTCTAATGTGAATATGATAAATGTTGATATATAGTGTGAACATAAATTGAGCAAAAAACCAAAGAGAGTGTTGCAATTTTCGGATGGTGTAATGGAGGAATATTCATCAGAAGATGAGGTTGATGCACCAAAGAATAATAAGACTATGTCGCATATAGATACTGTAATTATTAATTAAATCAATTAAAATAATATACGTATACATATTCAATAAAAATATAAAATAACACAATTGTGTTGTAGAAAAATATGAATTGGTTACCATGGGCATGGTATCAAACCACATCGCTAAGTTCTAAAATGTTAGACGGTTGTGATTACATCGGGGAATGCCTGGCCAATTTCTTTGGCATAACAGCGCCCAAGTATCAGTTCGAGATCAATGAGTTTTATAGGCTACAAGCACTTGAAAGAGAAATGTTTCGTAAGCAAGATTTGGAAATGGGTGGATGGAGTGAACAAAAGAGGAACAATCTCATAGCGAGTAGTGATACTATATTGGTAAATGAATATAAGTAAGCACATTAAGCGTGGATTTTATATTGAGAAACATGTTACAAATGTCTAGTGTATATTTTAGAATACGCTTAGAACATTGCCTATTGGTAGCTTTAATTGACAAAGATTTGTTTTGTGTTCAAATTCTAAATTCTCTAGCAAATTCACAAATGGAAATAATAGTTGATTGAATGGTTTTAGCTATTTTTCTATGCAATATTAAAGTTTTTTAAA